GTAAATCATCTCTCATTCTTTATTTCACTAGACTGGTATAATATATAATTTGGACTCATAATCTCTTATTTTCAGTGAAAAAAGATTATCACTAAATTATTTAAGTCGTTAACTATTGATTTTTTTTTATGCAATTAGTTATTTTATTTAAAAAAATAAAAATTTATATATAAACAAGTTTTATATAAAATATTTAAATAAAATATGCTTTGGAATGAAGATATTTTATTAGTTATTTTATTTAAAAATTAAATATATAAAAATATAAATTTATACGAAGTAATATTAATTGTGGTGATATGAGATCAAAATAAATTTTTTATTTGTTTTCATTGTAATTGCTCTTAGTTGCATCGATTTTTGCTTTTCTGCGCTAACAATTTATGATCCTGAAATCACTAAATTTTGTCTTTTAAGTGCTTTTCCTAAGTAGATAGTTTTCATGTTGGTCCTTGTTAGCTAGTTGCTTAAGTTAAAGAAATGGCAATTTGTCAAGTCGCTCCTGCACATCCCATACGTAACGTTTTGTCTGTTCATTCTAGAGGGTAATGAAAATTATGTGATGAAATTTCAGAGCATCTTACGAAGTCTATCTTTCTTTTCATATTGATTTCTTTTGTTTGGTATGAAAGCTACGGAAATGCTACCCTTTATAATTCATTTGTGTTTACCACCGACGTGACTGCATATTTCAGTCGGTTGCCTTGTTGACGAGGTTAAGAGTCAATGCTCTTGACATTAAGCGCCTCGTCTGTCAACATTATAGCAACTTGAATTCATACTATTGGAAATTAATAAATTAAATTGTTGGAAACAAAAAAGAAGAAGAAATATTTGAAGAAAGATTTATTATTTTCTTGTTTTCATTGCATAGATAAAAATCTTATATATAAATCTATACAATAGAATATTTTTATGTATAAACCAATTATTTTAAATGCATATAATCAATTACAATGTGAACATAATATTTTAACATAAATGTTGATATTCTAACATCCCCGCAAATTCAAGTTGGTTTCAAGACACGTATTTAAGAATTTTTTAACTCAAACACCATTGTACCTTGTTGTACAATAGGAATGTCTATCACATATCCCTTCTCTCAAATGCCTTATTATTTTTTAATCATACACCATTATACTGTAATTGTATAATAGGACTGCATATCACATTTACTTTGTTAAACACCATTATACCTTATTGTATAATAGGAGTGCATATCACATTTGCTTTGTTAAGCACCATTATACCTTATTGTATAATAGGAATGCTATGCAAAAATCTCAATTAGGCATCATTGGTCTCATGATCAATAATAATACATAGGGACATCACAATCCCCCACATTGGGAGCATCTCAAATATGTGATTCTCACGTTCTTCAAATAATTGAGTTCATGAAGAAACTCATTTTCTCACAAGATTTCACAAGAGCTTAGTAGCTCATCTCACATTTCATCGTCACAAATGACTTCTCGATCACGTAAGTTTAAAATTTTAACTTATGTTTCCGGAATATATCAACCCAAATTTCATGTCCATTTTTACCAAAATAATTACATGGACCAAATCAAGTAGCTTTTCACTTGGGTTCTCAAAGTTTCACATATTTCATAAAAAAACTCAATAATATGTTCAATTAAATGCACATATTTATTCACCATTTTTTTTAACCATTAAAAAATAATCATCATCAATTTATTATATATCAATGGTGCACATTAATAACAAAATAATTATAATATGTCATACATGCTTACATGTGCATTTCTAATTAAACAGCAAAAATAAGAAAGCATGCTCAATTTTATAAAGCCTTTATTTCCCAAATATATCATATTAATATATTTGCTTCACAATCACATTTAATTCAAACAGCTAGTGTGATATACTCATTGTTGATGAAACCCCCCAAATTAATATGCATGCATTAAAAGCAAACGGCTAGCTAATCATTCTTATAAATATAACCATTATAACACTAGTAACGGCCAAAATGCACCATTAATCTATGAATTAAGTAGCACAAATTTAATGTGTATTTAATACCAAATTCTAATAACATGAAGTGCTAATTTTTCCTAAGAATTGCGCATAGGAGGCTGCTGAGTTCCACAAGAATTATGCATTTTATGCTTTATGTTTCAGGCAAGCTATGCCATGACCAAATATCTCCGTGTATTTAACCCAAGAAAAATCAAGAAGCCATAAGTAATCATTCCAAGTTTCCATCATTTCTAGTATACAATTGGAATATTGGATAGTGATTAACTAATTAGATAAAGCATCATATATTGCAAGAGGGTCAAAAACTCATACTTGTTTGGTGCATATGTATCAAGAAAAATTAGAATTTTATATTATGCTTACACAAAGCCTCATATATTTTACTTTTGGTTTGCACATTGTGAATCGCCTTAAAATTGTTGTTCTTTGAACATTCTTCTCCATCTCCACCACAAGTTATTATTGTTCTTTAAGGCGATTTACGTCTATACGGAGAGTAGATCAACCACAGATGGACACAACTCTGCATTTCTCTTCATTCACCAGCTATGCTATCGGTTGCCTTATATCTTCATTAAACCCAACAATATACTCTTCAACAACATGGGAATAAGACCACCTGAGCTGCCTCTGCCTCTCAAATGCTAAGCTAGTTCCTTCTCCTTCGTTTCTTGCAGTTATTCCATAAGTTTGTAAGCTTCTGGTGAGATCAATTATTTGAGATTTAATTTCATCAATTTTTGAAACAAGGTTTTGAAGTGCCATGCCTTTGGTGATGGGATTATGGATTCTTCTTCCATTCCGAGGTGCAAATTCAAGTACAAAACTGTCAATAACATCCTCAATGTCAAAAGCAGCATCTCCTATCTCTGAAACCCAATTCCGAACACTGGCATCCTCATCTTGCCTCTTGTCAGCATCTTTTAGAAAGCACGGTATCCGTTTTAGCTTGATTTGCATCTGTTGGACCTGATACCGTACACTCCCTAAGGCTATAGTTTCCTTGATCAGGACGTTACCCAACCTCTCCACAAGCAAGTATACCACAGCATCAGCCATGAAATATGCCTTTGCTTCTTGAGTGAAGACAGACAGGTACAAGCTAACAAAATAGCAAAAACCCTTTTATTTTCTGAACAATTAATAAGGAAGCATTCAAAATTTCACAAAAAATAACAAAATCTCCTTGAATTTCACAAAGCCAAAGCGAAATGCAAGTCATCAATTACCTATCTTTCACAATGCAAACTGCACTTGAGTGCTTACATCTTCAAGTTTTATTATATTTCCTCCAATATCAATGCCATCAGTTTTTACTTCGACTGCAAGGGCATCTTCTAAGAAGCTGGCAAGCATTGACATACAAGTAGTAGGGGGATAACAGGGATTGGGATGACCCAACAAGGATTCCCAATTACCATGTGCATTGAAAATTGCTTTCATACCAAATAGTAAAAGAGAAGAAAGAAATCTCCACGGAACTTCCATTTCCTTGAATTTTCAACAAGAAAGCAACTAGCAGGGACCTACCTACTTGGAAATTACCTGTACGTTTCATGTATGTTGAAGCAGTTGGATTGGGAAAAGCACTCAAAAAGACAAAAGTTGTGATTTCAGACTCTGTAACTTTGAAATAAAAGGAAATTAAGACCAACATAATACAAATGTGATGCAGAATCGCCCTCCCTCCCTGCTACATTTATCAAAAAGAAACCCACAACTCAATGTCTCTTCAAAATTTTTTCAAATTTCTCAAGAAAATATCAGTTGAAGTAAGGGGAAGAAAACCTTCAGCACTTCTAGAGGGACTATGTCGTCAATTTTCACTAGCTGAGCTCAAAGCTGCCACCAACAATTTTCATCATGATTTGAAAATCGATGTGCTTGGTTTTGGCCCAGTATACAAGGGCCTCATTGATGGCGGTTCTTTGGTTGTCGCTGTCAAACGTTTCTCTAGAGACTCTAGACCAACGGGACAAGCAGTTGGAGCGTTCCAAAATGAGGCACAGTTGCTCTGCCAGCTGCGCCACCAGAATCTTGTCTCTCTCCTCGGGTTTTGTCACGAGAAGGGTGAGAGCATCCTTGTGTTTGAATATGTGACCCATGGGGGATTGGATGGTCATCTTTTTAAAAATGATGATCCCCTCCCATGGAAGCGGAGACTAGAGATATGCATTGGGGCAGCGCGTGGATTACACTACCTTCACACAGGTGCCAAGTATGCAATAATTCACCGCGATGTCAATCCTTCTAATATTCTTTTGGACGAAAATTGGGATGTAAAGCTTTCAGATTTTTGGATTTCCAGGATTGGTCCCTCTAGCATCTCAAAGCCTAAGCCCGACGCTTTGAAAAAAATGGAGTCGATTTGTGGTATACTAGGGTATATGGCTCCAGAGTATCTCATAAAAGGTGAAGTCAGTGTAAAAATTGATGTGTACGCACTAGGTATTGTTCTGTTGGTAGTATTGTGTGGTAGGAAGCCATATGACAACACGGCAGAAGAAAGCCATGTGATTTCCTGGATCATTAAATGCATAAAAAACGGCTGCGTTCATGATATGATCGATCCATTTCTGAATGGGAAGATAGCACCGGTGTGTCTGATAGAATTCGTGGAGATCGCTCTCGGTTGTGTTTCTGAAAATCCAAATGAACGGCCTTCAGTGGGAGATGTTGAGGTAGCCTTAGAACTTGCATTGGAGCTGCAGGAGAAAGCCGACTTGGTTATCAAGTCTGACAATCCACATGCTGTCTATGCCTATAAAGATGTATCATTCCGTGTTTCTGTTGAAGCAAAAAGCTACTGGCCAGCCAACAGTTATGGTGGAGAGTCACATGGAGTATCCGTCTCGGATGCAGAATTGGTCTCCGATGGAGGAGCGGTCTCAGTCACCGAATCATGAATTGATAGAGATGAGTTTGGGAAGGGGAAGTCTCTCTGTAAAACCAATATTAACTTTTATGGATGAAGAGATTGATGCAATTAAATGGAATTAACGCAGAATCAACATTTTATTCAAAATTCAAAATTAATTGGTGTTATCAAATCCTTAATTACTGTCTTATTGTTAATTTACTTATTTTGTGTTTATTATTGTAAATCATACTCAAAAGTCTCAAACTCCAATCTTATAGGGTTTAGGTGGTTAGTTTATAAAAAAAAATTAGATTTTATTTGTCATTACAAAAGATTTTTCATTTTTTTTATCTATTTTTTTAATTGTTTCATAATTTTATTTGATATTAAGTGTGATTATAGTTAATATGTTTTTGTAATTAATATGTTTCGAACCTTTTTCAATTGATTTAAGGTTCAGACCTCTTGTAATTAATATGTTTTTGTAATTAAATTATGTGAAAATTTTTTAAATAATATTAATGCCTTGTGTATTAATTTAATTAATTAGTTATTAAAATTAAAATTAAATTTTATTTGTTTGTATAATTTAATAATTCTTTGTGTGGTTTTTTTAATTGTCTTAATCTTTCAATTTTATGTAAATTAATTTAATAATTTTATATATTAGACGAATGGTAATTGAGAAATTTTTTATTTAAATAAAAATACTTA